AAAACATGGGAAAAACATGGGAAAAACATGGGAAAAACATTGGAAAATCATGGGAAAATCATGGGAAAATCATGGGAAAAACATGGGAAAATCATGGGAAAACCATAGGAAAATCATGGGAAAAACATGGGAAAATCATGGGAAAATCATGGGAAAAACATGGGAAAATCATGGGAAAATCATGGGGAAAACATGGGAAAATCATGGGGAAAACATGGGAAAATCATGGGAAAATCATGGGAAAATCATGGGAAAATCATGGGAAAATCATGGGAAAATCATGGAAAAAACATGGGAAAATCATGGGAAAATCATAGGAAAATCATAGGAAAATCATGGGAAAAACGTGGGAACAATCATGGGAAAATCATGGGAAAAACATGGGAAAATCATGGGAAAAACATGGGAAAATCATGGGAAAATCATGGGAAAATCATGGGAAAATCATGGGAAAATCATGGGAAAATCATGGGAAAATCATGGGAAAATGCTGGAAAAATCAGGGAATCAGGAAACATGGAAAAACATGGAAAAACATGTGAAAACATGGTAAAACATGGGAAAATCCAATGGGAAAACATGGGAAAACATGGGAAAACATGGGAAACATTGGAAAAACATGGGAAAATCATGGGAAAAACATGGGAAAATCATGGGAAAAACATGGGAAAATCATGGGAAAATCATGGGAAAATCATTGGAAAATCATGGGAAAATCATGGGAAAATCATGGGAAAAACATGGGAAAAACATTGGAAAATCATGGGAAAATCATGGGAAAATCATGGGAAAATCATGGGAAAAACATGGGAAAATCATGGGAAAACCATAGGAAAATCATGGGAAAATCATGGGAAAAACGTGGGAAAAATCATGGGAAAAACATGGGAAAAACATGGGAAAATCATGGGAAAATCATGGGAAAAACATGGGAAAAACATGGGAAAAACATGGGAAAATCATGGGAAAATCATGGGAAAATCATGGGAAAATCATGGGAAAATCATGGGAAAATCATGGGAAAATCATGGGAAAAACATTGGAAAATCATTGGAAAATCATAGGAAAATCATAGGAAAATCATGGGAAAAACGTGGGAAAAATCATGGGAAAATCATGGGAAAAACATGAGAAAATCATGGGAAAATCATGGGAAAATCATGGGAAAATCATGGGAAAATCATGGGAAAATCATGGGAAAATCATGGGAAAATCATGGGAAAAACATGGGAAAATCATGGGAAAATCATAGGAAAATCATGGGAAAAACGTGGGAAAAACGTGGGAAAATCATGGGAAAAACGTGGGAAAATCATGGGAAAATCATGGGAAAATCATGGGAAAATCATGGGAAAATCATGGGAAAATCATGGGAAAATCATGGGAAAAACATGGGAAAATCATGGGAAAAACATGGGAAAAACATGGGAAAAATGTGGGAAAAATCATGGGAAAAATCATGGGAAAATCATGGGAAAATCATGGGAAAATCATGGGAAAATCATGGGAAAATCATGGGAAAATCATGGGAAAAACATGGGAAAATCATGGGAAAATCATAGGAAAATCATAGGAAAATCATGGGAAAAACGTGGGAAAATCATGGGAAAATCATGGGAAAAACGTGGGAAAATCATGGGTCCAATTTTTTTTTTTGATGGTCTTGATGTGTTTTTTTACTTGGAGAATCATGGGAACTTCATGGAGAATCATGGGAGGTTTTTGGAAACACCCGGTAATCAAATGTGGCTGGGAAAGTCACCAGAAATGAAGGAACCAAATCGAAGGATTCATCAAGACACATGAGGTTTGAGCATGAAGAAGTGGAGGTTTGTTCATCCTGGAAGCTGTCGTAAATGATAGTAAATGGCTACGTATTTACCCAGCAACTGGGTCAACTGGGTTGCTCCAACCTTTATTTTGACAAACTGATGCCCACCAGGGGGACATGACCACTGTATTTCAGCGTTGGGAGCAACCCTGAGGAAGTGGATGTATCATAGAAAACCCTCAGGGGATCACCAAATCAGATGGGACCTTTGGCTGGTGCTCCAGCCTGGGGCATCCCGGAAAAACACATGATACAACAGCATGATGATTTTTTGGATATTTGTTGCAAAGACCCAATGATCACCAGAAGGGTTAGTCCCTGCCATGAGTTGGGGGTTGGAAGACTACTTTACTCGATAGAATTGGCTGTTGTTATCGGGCGTAGTTCGTAGTGAAGGAGGGATGGTAACATCCATATTAAAACCAGTTGGACTCCGTTAAGCTCCATTATATTGAGCCATATTGACATCAAAAACTATGCAATTCTCCATGTTTTTTTTTTTGGGGGTGGCTTGCTGACTAATCAGCACCAAAACAACTCCAGTTTCCAAATGTTTCCGACAGGTACACCGAGATGGCCAGCAGCTTGCGACAGAAGAACGAGCTGGACCGAGCCATTCGCACCATGGAACGTGCCGTCGGGATGTGCACCAAAGCGGTGCCTTGGACGCAACGCGACGCGACGCGACTCCGTTTGACGGAGTCGCGATTCGGAAAGCCCTTGACAGTCGTAACTGGGGAAAGCTGGCAGTTTTTTGTTCAAAAAAAAAGGCTGGGTTTAAGAAAATAAATATTTCAAGCCATATTGAATCTATAGAAATATCCTATTCAAATCCACAATGGCTGGCAGTTTTGTTTAAGTCATGTTCCATAGATATTTCATAGAGCTGCCCTTGTGGACAGCTGAGAAGTGTCCAACCGGGATGGTAGTTCGATGATATAAAAACCATTTTTTTTGGTAGCCAGCTTTTCAGCATCTATTTTGAGGATGCTACCGAGAAAAACATGGACTATGGTGGATATATGTTAATATCATATCATCTGGTTGGTGGTTTCAAACATGTTTTATTTTCCATAATATATATGGGATAATCCTTCCCATTGACTTTCACATTTTTCAAGATGCTTTCTTTAACCACCAATCAGTCATTCTATACTATACATTGATGGTTAGTATCTATAGTCCTACCTATTTTTTTAGCGTTTCCCATTTCCCAAAAAAGTGCTCCATGGTCGATGGAGATTTGGTTTCCCTTATGGGATGAATTTTTCGGTGTGACATACGCCACATTTTTCAATTCTGGGCATCTTGGGCGACCATGGCATTTCTGGCTTTGCCCAGAGATTTTATTGCAATTCATATATGACATAGCATGACTATAACATGACATAACATGACTATCTGATATATGATATATGTAAAATTCCATGTTAGGTTTCGGGGTGTATTTGATGGATTTCCTGCCTTTTACACAGACTGATCTGGCTGAAGCGACGCTGGGATTTGGTCGGGGAAACTTTTCAAAGACCTATGATGTGAATAAGTATGACGAAATAACTTCTTACTGCATCCTCTCATAGTCACAATTGTGAGTGAGATGGTTAATATATGTTAATATGCGCACCCCCAAGGTTCCCAAAGCCAATCCGAATGAGTGATTTTCTCCAACTTCTGTTTCCATTCTCTCTGAAATTCACCTTGTGTAATTGTGGTTTTCCATTCTCAATTTTCCAAGGCAAATCCGGTGCCAGGTTAGGCAATTGACCCCCAAGATCCGGGACGTTCAGAATCGCCTGTGAATCGCTTTGTGATTCGCTTTTTTGGTGAGGAACATCCTGTCAGCTAGATCTTGGCACAAAAAAACCTTGAGATATGGATTTTTCATTTTTTTTCCCACAAAAAGATGATTTCGCTCCCCGTTCGACACTTTCGACACTTTCAAGATACCCTCTGGTTATGACTAACAGTTTGCCATGGAAAATCACACTTTTTAATAGGTAAACCATCTATTTCTATGGGCCATCTATACCATGGCTATGTAACAGTCATGACCAGATGATATTTCGAGATGATGTCCTCCCCACTTCCCGAACTCCTCAGCCCCACCTGATCGGCACTAGGAGTACCACCACCCCGCCATGGCTGTCGAGACGGCTCGGGCACGCATTAACCTGGCTGCCACGCTGTCCGAGGCGCTGATTCATGGGATTCGAATGGATTCATGTGGGTAAAACAAGGCCATAAAACCCTGATATGTTCCTGATATGAATGGTATACGAATGGTTAATGAATATAGTTATGGTATAGTTATGGTATATGAATGGGATATGATATAGTTAATAGTTATTATTGAATAATGTGGGTAAAACACTGCCATTTTTACCACTCATGACTTGGGAATGGTGACCATAGCAGCCATCAAAATGGTGATTTTCCTGGGGGATGGTGCGTTTATGACATTGTTTTAACCACATTAGTGGAGATAAATGGTGAAGAGTGGAGATTTCTGGAGAGAAATGATGATTTTTTAATAGTGTCTCATGAGAATTACCATCTGGATTTTGGTCGAAAAAAAGGGGTGATTTGCCACTTCAATGGCTAGTTCACCAGGGGTTTCACCGCAAAGAGATTCCATCATTGTATCCATCCCCATAAACCGCCCCATAAGCCGCCCACAGTTCCCATCCGGTGCCCCCCATCCAGCCTGTAGCCACTGTAGCCATACTTGGATGTGCATCCCCAGCTATAGAACCCCAGTTGCATACCTGGGGGTGGGATACCCTAGTAAGATGAGTGGGTTGTTCAGCATTTCCTAACTGGGAGGATGCACCCCAAAGTATGGCCCAATTATCGAATGCACACACACACATATATATATATATCCCATCCAGTAGTGTTAACATATCTTTGGAAAATCGAAGCCATTTCGCAATGGTGATTTTCTATAGCTATGTACTACTATTAGTTACATAGTATACCTATCTATCGTTGGTTGAACTATATGTTTAACATGTTGGTTTGTTGCAGATGTTGCAGGCGAAGAGGCATCGAGCCGCCTTGATGGCCATCAAAAAGGCCCAGGGCACCCTGCAGCGCGTCCTCACTTGGGCCGACGACTGCGAAGGCCGTGAGGATCCGGCGGTGCCTCGGTGACCGTGGCCACATCTAGATGTCATATTTATTTTGGTGTATATTTATAGTTTCTAAAGTTTTGAAAGTTTATGATCTAAAACCGCTACATTCATATACCCATACATTATCTATCTACCTACCTACCTACCTATCTATCTATCTATCTATCTATCTGTCTATCTATCTATCTATCTATCTATCTATCTAACACAGCCGTGAGGTGCGCAGCATCGGCGAGGAGGCGCGCACGCTGCGCTGCGCGGCGCTGGTGGCGGAATCCATTCAGATGGAGCTCTGCCCAGGCGGTAGGTTTTTTGGGTTTTCATCATCTTTAAATGGGATTTTTCCATGGGATTTATCGGATTTATGTATGGTTTTTAGATGGTAAATGGGAATATATATATATATATATATGTATATATCTCTGTGTGTGTGAGATTATATACGGTTTTTATATGCTTCATTAGGGTTAACTACCAGCAATTTCGTGCTGTTTGGAATGGACAGTTGGGGAAGGTTGGGCATTTAACCAACCAAAAAAAGGTGGTTTAATGGGGATATAGTGGGAATATAATGGGGATAAGTTTCCTTCTGTTTGAAAATATCATTGAGATTTAAGTGGGGTTTTAATGGGATGAAATGGTTTCTATAAATTCCATGGATATCTAGAATATTTTGATTGCGGTACACTAATCCAATTTAGTCCAAATAGGGTGTGGGGTCATTGTCATAGCACTTGGTATTGGATATTTGAAGCCCCGGCAAAAGAATATTTGAATTCACCTACCTGCTTAAATCAATTAGTTCCCCTTGAATTCCCGACTAAATCCCAATGAAACCATAATGAAGCCCACTAAATCACCATGAATTCCCAAGTCAAACGCCCAAAATACCGTATCCAATATTTCCCTTGATTTCCCACTAAATCACCATGAATTCCCCAGATTCCCATGGAAATCTCCTGAATTTCCAGGCCCCACTGTGGACGTCGTCTCGGGTGGCTACGATGCCCAACTGGCGCCGTTGTCGCCCAGTCAGAGCCAGGTGGACTGCGGGAGTTCCTGGGGATTTCGAAAAATAGGCGGATTTTAGTGGGAATTTAGTGTGATTTCATGGGACATGCCCATGAAAATGGAGGTTTATAGCTGGGAAAATCAAGTCTATGGCTAAAAAAGAGAGGTCAACGATTTCCCAGTTTGCGGAGTGGAAAAGGTAGCTCGAAATTGATGACAATTGTGATTTCATGGATTTGTAGTTGTATTCCATGGAAAGTAAGTGTCAAAGGGAAAATTCGCGCCATGTCTAGACCATTTTGGATTTCACCATGGAAATTTGGTGTGTACTTGGAACATGATGAAGCCAGAAACATATAAAACTGGAAGACGTGACAATCCGGGAAGGTCTAAGCATGAAAATCTGAGGATTTCACGCCTGGATGGATATCAGGATTTCAGAAACCACTTTCCGATGACTGACCAGCAGTAAGATCCTCCAGTTTCTCGTTGATCTTCCCAGCTAGAAACCTTGATTTAGAGAGCGGGATTTCCCAGCCAGCCACACTTGATTGCCAGATTCTATATCCATCTATATTTTGTTGTCCTATTATTGTCCGAATAATGTTCCCATTAAACCCATATTTCCCAAAGATTCAACTCACAGTTTGCCATTGAACATGGCCCATGTGTAGGAACATGAGTTACCCCTGAAAAGTAGTGATTTTCCACAAACTGTCAGTTGACCAGAAGATATATTATATATATATATAACCAGAAAAGCTCCATTTAAAAAATATATATATATATATATGTATATCACACACACACATATATATATATCTCTCCCTATTAAACCCATATTTCAGGTTGAGATTTTCCCATTGGGATGGTCTCCCCCGTGGCCGATCTCCAGGTCCTGCCGCAGATCAAGCGCGAGAAGAAGCCACCCGCGGGCGCGGCGGCGGTTCCCACGGGCGCGGGCACCGGGGCGGAGCAGGGAAGAGCCAGAAGGGCAGGAGACCGGGAGAAAATGTGGGGATCTTGTTGGGGATTTGGGTATGGGTCAATACCTATAGATACCATTTTTAGTGGGATGAACATCCATTTACCAGCTATTTTGATGTTCACCAGGGGGATAGGGTTTTGACCCATCCCCATTTCATATCAGGAGGCTGGTTGGTGGTTATGAACATTTTGAAAAAATTATCCATTCAGTTGGGAATCATAATCCCAACTGACGAACTCATATTTTTCAAAGGGGTGGGGCTCAACCACCAACCAGGAGGTTTTAATGGGAAAATCTAAACCTGAAGCCTGAAATATGTGTTTTTTTTTTCTTTCTGGGGATTTACCCTTTGGTAAACTAAGATAACACTGGGAAAATAAGCGTTTCTTTTTCGCTATGTTAGCTTACCGTAACCAAAGTCAAAATGGGGATGATTCCAACCCAAAATTTTCACGGGGCAGAAAAGGAGAGCAACCACATCCTATTTTGTCATCAGTATAGTTACCCTTTGGTAAACTGCCAAATAACTATAGAACATCACCATTTTTAATGGGTAAATCAACTAGAAAATCACCATCTTTAATGGGTAAATCAACATAAAACATCACCATCTTTAATGGGTAAATCAACATAAAACATCACCATTTTCAATAGTTTTTTGTAAGTTTACCAGGCCGGGTATGACATAAAACATGGATTGATCCCATGGGAGATGTTCATCGGATCGCTGTTGGGAGAACTGGAATTTTAATGGGATGAATGGATACATAACAAAGCCGGCTTGACGTTCAAGTTCTTCAAGCCTAGATATGACAGAAAAATGGCAGGTACCCAAATTTTGTCCCATCATGGATTTGACACCAATAATTCATGGATTTGTTGCTTCGAATTGTTTGTTGACCATCATGATTCACCAGTTGGCCCTAATGAATGCCATTTTCTATTGATTTACCTCGTTTTTTTTCAAACCATTGCTGCACTTTTTGCTGGTGAAGATTCCAATTTTTCTTGATGTTCCTGGCAAACCATTGCGATTTTTATCCGACAACGAATTGGATTCCATTTCATTTAACATCATTTAACCCAATGATTCTTATTGTCATTGCAATGACAGCAAAATGTTTCTTTATTTGTTGAGTTCCCAACGAATTTTCCCATTTGCTGATGAACATTTTCGTTGTGACCATGACATTTTTTTATTGGGTCATTATACAATTCTTGTTGATGTCCATATTTCTCATTTGTTAAGTTCCCAAGTATTTAATTATATATATATATAATTCTATTTCTATTTTTGGTTCGTTGTGATCCCAATTTCTAGTTGATTTTTATACTCTAGTGGTACGTTGACTTATCCCTTTTCCAGTGTTTATACATTTTGTCTGGGTAAATTATAACGACCTCACTGCGACCTCACTGGAAATCATGGTTAGTAAGGGAAATCATCCCCAAATGGCCGCAAGATTCAGGTTAGTGAAATATTATAATTTACCCAGATTTTGTTCACCATGTATGGAAAATCACCATCTTTAATAGGTAAATCAACTATAAATGGGCCATTTTCAATAGCTAACTGTTGACATAACCAGAGGGTAAGATCCCAATTGGTCTATTTTTTCTCCTTCCAGGACCCGCTGAGTCGCAACGCCCTGCACCGGTGAAGGTGAACCTCCGACCGCGGGTCGTGGAGGCGCCTTGGATCGATTTTTTGGGGCGTGGAGGACCATGGGTTTACCACGAAAAAATGGTGATTTTGGATTGTAAGATAGTGGTTAATAGTGGTTTAATAGTGGTTTGATAGTGGGTTAATAGTGGGTTACTGTATGGATCAATACCTATTAATAGCATTTTTAGGGGGATGAACATCCATAAATCCCAGCTATTTTGATGTGAACTACAGGGGTACAAGGTTTTGACCCACTGCCATTTTGGATTGTAAGATACCTTACAACCCTTCCATTTGGTTGGTGGTGACTGGAACATTTTGGAACATTTGGATGATTTATTCCCCATCATATTGGGGATAAGTCATCATCCCAACTGACGAACTCCATCATTTTTCAGAGGGGTGGGGCTCAACCACCAACCAGAAAGTTTTACATAGATTCACCACAAGGTGGTGCCCCCCAGTGATGAACCCTGATTTACAAGCCCAAAGGGAACCCGTGCAATATATGTATCATAAAATCTGATGAAATTGGAGAAGTGTTCACCAAGTTTACCAGTTGCCAGGTTCCCCATTCAAATCCGATTTTGGCTGGTTGAAGTCCCGAAGTATCTTTGTGGGTCCAAATCGAAGATGTCAAAGATGTCGCAAGAAATAGGAAAACCAACAACTCCCATGGATTTCCATGCTTAAAAAATCATGTTCCATTGCCAAACATTAGTGGATAGATCCTCAATCGCGAGACAAACTCATACTGTATATGTTTCGTTTATATCCCCGTTCATATCCTCATAAAACATCCCCATCTGACACATTGTTGGTGCATAGATTATAGCACCATTTTTCCCATGATTTTCCCATGATTTTGGTGGGTTCACTCCTTGATTTTGGATGATTTTGCTGGGTTTTTCCTGGTTTTTCCATGGTTTTTCCATGGGTTTTTCCTTCCCAAAAAACGACGACGCATTTGACCGCGACGGGACGATACCGCGACCGGTGTACCGAGGAGCGCACGGACGTCTTCTCGGAGTTCCTCCGCAACGTGGAGGCCGAGCGCGTGGCGCGGCTCGGCGCCCTGAACGTGGCTCGGCGGATGGTTCGCGAACTGGAAAATGGCCATAGAAATAGTGGATTTTCCCATGAAAAATGGTGATTTTCCATAGTTTTTTGTATGTTTACCAGAGGGTAGCAATGATGATGATATTTTAATTACTGTAGTTGATTTGTTGTTGATGACGAATTCATTGAGAAGTAAACGATGGAACACTATCCATGCCGTGCCAAGTTTTTGGATCAGGGGCTCATGGGGTGTGCCCAAAAGCATTGACCTTCGAACCAATATATTTTTCCCATTGCGAACCCTTATTTTTGCCTGATCTAAACATTTTTCCGCATTTTTGTGTGTTGGAAATTGCCAGTTTCCATGGGTGAAACTCTTTAAAGTGGGAGAATCTAACGCCATTTTCACCGCCATGATCCAATTATCAACCAAGCACTACCTAACCATTCAGCAGTCAACCTACAAGACCTACTACGCACCCAACCCTGCAAAAAATCCTGAAGACAACTGCCAAATAGCGTCTCATTGGCCCTTAGCCAACCATTTTTCCAACCATTCACCAGTAAAAACAACTCTGAGGACAAATGGGAAAATCGTAATGTTTTCCTATTTGATAATTATCCTCCGACCATTAGCCAATATGAACTATGACCTTTAGCCGTTTAGCCCTAGAGTTCTCCAAGCTTTTCCAACTCTGCAGTGGTGTTTTCTGAGCTTTTTCTCCGAGATGTCAACCATTCTCCAGCCATTTTCCCTGAGTCAGTCATGACCATCTCTACCAACATGTTATATAGCATCTCACCATTTTTTTCACCATCACTTTCTAGATCCAACCATTTCCCAAGCATTTCCCAAGCATGCCCCAAGCATTTCCCAAGTTTTGTTGTCGACGACTTCCGAGGACAACTGGGAAGATCAGGCCAAACGTCGCTTGGGTCAAGTGCATCGCCGCACTCAGCTGGCCTTAGACCTCATGGGTGACGAGGATTTCCGACATCGGTGGGTTGGAATGTGTCAATGATGTCAATGCCATGGGATTTTTTGGTAAGTAAGAAAGTGGCACATCCCATTACTAAATTACACATAATATACGTAATGGATGATGTGGATTTATCCCATTTTAGTGGATAAACATGTGGGCTTATGGATTTATAAACAGAGCTAATCCCATTTTAGATGTGACATGCTACGGTTTTTTTAAGACAAAACGGGAGTTTTGTTGGCTAGAACTGCTTCTTGCCATGCTCGATTTTTTGTTGGTTGGACCTGATTTTCTTCGACACTTTTTGTCAATTTTAGCCATGGCAGCCATGGGTTTCCGCTGGATTTTCCGAGATTCTGAGGATTCAGCCAGCATGGATTTTGAGGTTTCCGAACAGTTCCCCAACATCAAAAAACCCCTTTGGATTCGCTGCCCTGGCTGAGATTTTTTCAGATTTTTCGGCAGTTTCCGATGATTTTCCATCTCCGGTAGCAACCCATCAGTGGGTTGGAGGAACTCAAAGAGAAGAGATATACCAACACGGGGCACCAAGTCTTTATGAAGGCAGGGGGGTTGTGGATGGGGCTGGATTGGGCTGGATTGCTGGGGTGCTTTTCACCAAGTTGCAGTTCGATGTGTCCAGGTGAAGTGAGTGAAGATTTATGAACAAAGCCCTTTGGTAATTTAACATAGCTTTGGAAATCCATTGTTTTCCCGAGGAATTCTTTTTCTTAAAATTGTGATTTTCCAGAGCTATGCTAGTTTACTGGAGGGTATATGATGTATTTATTTCACGAGAGTTACAGGAGTTGTCCTCTTTGTTCACAAGGATAAATATATGTGTTTAGACATGTGTATAAATACACATCTGCGTGGACACGTCTATATGATGTATTCCGCCAGCTATTTTTGATGATTATGTTCCCAGGGCCCCACGAAACTGGCAATTTTGACCCATCCCAAAAAGAGCTATTTATTTATCCAATAATGGTGGTTAATACAATGAATGGAGATGGGATTATGATTTGTCAATATGGGATTATAATAATAATACCCATTACTCAGAATATAATGAAATGTAAAGGGGATATTCTGGGTTGACCTAAATGACACCAACATCGGAGCTTTTTTTTTTTGAAGAGGGGATAGCTCAGCAACAATAGGATTCCCTGTGGCTTTCCAAGCCGAAAAATCGGTCCGAAAAATCATCTTGTTGGTTTTAGCACCCCAAGATCGATCCCCTATGATGTTCCCATTAGCCTCTGGTAAACTTACAAAAAGCTATTGAACATGGCCCAGTGGAAATAGTTGATTTACCCAGCTACAAAATGGTGGATCTTTCCATATAAATCACCATTTTCCCATGGTTTTCCCATGATTTTCTATACTTTTTTGTAAGTTTCCCAGATGGTATATCCCTATAAAATGGTAAAAACTCTCCGGTAGTCCAACATGGCAATGGAACATCTACCATGGATGAAGACACCCCAGTTTTTTTTAACCTCCGAACTTCGTTCGGTTTTTCTCGGCTCGCCGAACTTAGCACCATGAGTTTTCCCCTCTGAAGGAAGTGCAGTTCCGGTGAAAAAAAGTGGAAATATTTTTACGTACGTAGTTACGTAGTTACAGGTGTTGTTTTTTTTGTTCAGCTTATTTTCTGGTTTAACTCCTCATGGTTGCCATAGGTTGCCATATAGGTTGCCATAAAATTCGTGGCCCAATTTTTAGCACCCACAAAGCACCCATTCATGGCACCCATTCATTGGAAGATTTGTGTGGCACCAGGCCATGAAGAAGGCCAACAAGTGCTGGAGCGATCCCATCTTAGTCCATGAAGCCGCCAAAGAGAAGGTCGGCCGGATGGCGGATGGATTTCCACCCAAAAAAGGCGGGTTTTTTGACATGTTGAAACCATGTTTTAACCAGCCAAAAAGTAGTGGGGTTGATGTCGAAAGCAAAGTGGATGCTGGATGGGCACTGGGAATTTAGGGACTTGGAAGGCTTACTTTGATTCTTTAAGGGATTTTGATCCGAAGACCGTGAGTTTTGGGATATTGGGATAGAAAAACTCTCTTCCACATGGGAGAAAGACGTTTCTTCAGATCAGAGACATCAGCACCTTCCAGGTGTTTTGCAGATCCCAAATTTATGGTTTTTACATTTTTGTTCATTAGAGACTTCCACACTAGTGTGATAGGTTGAATCCCATACCTGAATGTCGCTTCAAATCCCATTTGTTGTCACAAAAAAAATCCAACTTTTTCATGATTCAATCCAATTCAAAAATAGCTCAACTCCCATAATTTTCATGGTGATCTAAAAATTCGATACTTCAACTTCTAACTGATTTTCCGTGATTTTCCATTAGGAAATCATTTTCCCAATGATTTCCTATGATTTTCCAGCATACCACCCCCCAAAAACATCGGAATGGCTTAAAATTGACCATGATTTTCCTGGGGATCTGCCGAGGCCACGCCGGAGATCTGCCAGATTCGCAAGCTGAACCGGCGGCTCTACGTGAAGCCCCCCACGCCGCCGCCCGTGCAGCCGCCGAAGCCCAAGGTGGATCAGGCCTTAGCGAGCAATCTGAGGAGCAACCACGCAAGGCAGGATGAAACAAGGGCTGGTAAGGCTGGTAATTTAACGGTTTTCTATTGAAAATGGCCATTTATAGTGAGTTTTCCCATTAAAATTGGTGATTTTCTATAGTTATGTTAAATTACCAGAGGGTAAGGTGTGGCAGGAAGATGTTGAAGATATGGAAGATTGGAAGAAACCTCCAGTTATTGATAGGTGGTTTTTAGATTCCATTGTTTAAGGACCATCCAAGGTTAGGATTTCTTCCACTGTAGATATATGTAGATACTGTTGTGGGAAAGGGGAGGTTTATGATGGTGGCATCCTGTGGGTTTCAAACAGCTAAATTGACGCACAAACCTAATTTGGTGAACTATTTCGGCTTATGGAGGATATAACTAATATAACGAACGTACAAACCCTATGGATATAACTATTCATATATAACTGGTTGGTGGTTTGGAACATTTGGATGATTTTTCCCATGATATTGGGGATAAGTCATCATCATGTCATCCCAACTGACTTTCACTCCATCACTTTTCAGAGGGGTGGGGCTCAACCACCAACCAGATATATTATTAACCAATGATTAATCATCATTAACCACTATTAACCACTATTAACCACCATTTTCCTATGGTTTTCCCATAAATATTCATCTTGTATTCATGGGCTTTATCGCTTTCTCAACGTTCGCATCATCCAGCAGGCTGCTTAACCGTGGGATGGCCCGATGTTTTAGGTTTTTTCAGTCATCTGAAGCCAGAAATCCGGCCTGTTTTGTTTGGAGGGTAGCAACTATAGTGTGACTATGGTGAAATTATGTTATTTACCCTCTGGTAAACTGTTACATAACTATGGAAAGATCCACCATTTTTAATGGGAAAACTCAATATCAATGGCCATTTTCTCAATAGCTACGTTATATAGTTTACTATATAGAGGGTAAATCATGTTAAATGGCACCAGTTGCCAGCAACTGGGAGGTTTCCAAGCGGCTTCAGCAACAATTTTTTTCGAACGTGCCAACACAGGTCGAGCATAAAGGCAGAACATTGACACCTGAGATGCAGCGGTGCCAATATGGCCAGCACGCATTGTGGGTAAAAAATGATGCCAACACAACTGAGTTTTTGAGTCACGGCAAAGCAGGGGGAAGTCATGCCAATGTGGCCATTTTGTAGCACCAGCACCTGGGGTCCCATTTTTTGGCCAAATTTTCTGCAGTTCCGCGGGGGTTGGCCCCCCATAGCCATCCGGAAACGGTAGATGTTTCACCCACGCGGTCGACACGCGGCTGTAGTCGTTGCGCGTTACGCGTTGCTTTAAGCAACGCTTCGTGGGCACGGCGCGAGTTTCGGAATCAAGGAAAAGAGGGCGGAGGATTTTGGCGAGATGGTTTTGAATGTCGTTGCCGCAACCTGTGCACCTATGGAATCCTATGGGTGTTGAATAATTTTTCAAAGTTTACAGGAGGTTTATGGAGATTTTGAACCACCTTTTGTAGTGAACATCCTTCGATGTGGGGATACATTGTTGCCTGGGTTGGTAGGAACCCACGGCGTCACGGGTTCAAGTCGACTTTTTTACATCTGAACATTGATCAGTGATGATCCTTGTGTGAAAATATTGGCTGCCTTGGCAATCCTAAATGGTTGTTTCATGGTTGAAATCCAACACATGGATATTCCATAATATATATATAATATATATGATTGTGATATTATATATTTCCCATTTCCAAATATTGGATGTCTTCATTCCAACCTATTTCGAAAGCGGTTCGCATCCTTCGCTGGCTTATCAACACAGGACGATAGAGATTCCCATTCGCATTTTGATCGGACGATAATTTTGATCATTTTGATTTGGACGAGTTACACATGTTACACTTCCATTTTGATTGGCTTTGATGATGATAATGGAATACCATTACCATTATTCTTCACCACTATTTTGGTTCTTTTTCTTTCTCTCCTCAGTATTTTGACACAACTGTCATTCTCATTCTTATCTTTTCTCATCACTAGGCATACCAGGTATACCAAAATCTGTCCCAGTCCCGGTCAAAATCACCCCGAAATAGATGTCCCTGATGTGCCTCGCAAAAAAAGGCACTGCAGAGTACAAGGCGGGGCACGCCTCCCTGCCGCAGGCTTCCGAGGTGGGGGCTGGGGGCACTCCGAGTCAGGTGAGCTGACTCCAAGAACTGTTTTGGGTGGAAAGACATCACCACCTGTCCCTGGATTTGGACAATTGAGTTTCCACATTTTCCGGACGTTGGATGTTTAAAAAAACTGGCAAAAAATGGATGTCAGTGGGAATTTGGTCAGTTCAGTGTCCAACATGTCATATCAATGTTCAACCGCAACATGCGCCAAAAAAATGACTCATTCTTGGTAGGTGCAACCACCACTGGGACACCACTAGGATGATTTTTCAGGATAGTACATGGCCAACCAGTAAGCTGTATCCCAACATGTCCCAGCTGATTGCAAGGTGGGATATGCCAAGGTTGCACACTATAAAAACTATCATAGATATCTACCGGCAACCTGGAAGCCCCAAACTTATGTAAATACTATTCTAGTGGTATTCAAATATATAAATATATATATATATACACATATACACACACACACATATATATATAAAGTCCTGTTTTAAATTAAACACAAGGCGGAAATAGCTACCCTCCCTCCAACCAACATGACGACCCTGCCATGAGTTTTTTCGGGTTGGGAGACGACATGCCCCTCTTCAGAGTGGAATTCTCAGGATCGAGCTGGTACCAGGTGGGAGAAATTATCCCCCACTGCGGTTTTTTCTTGGGCATACCCCTGCTTGGGATGATTTTCACGATACCCTCTGGTAAACTGTTACATAGCTATGGAAAGATCCACCATTTTTAATGGTAAAACTCACTATAAATGGCAATTTTCAATAGCTATGTTAATTTACCAGAGGGTAGGTATTAACTACTCTCAGCTTTCCCACATGAGTCAAGATAGTGAATGTGGTAAAACCATGTAAAACCCAGCCATAAACCACCCAAAATCATCATTTTGATGGGCGGAACTATCCCCAACCATCCCCAAATGGTAATGTCAATGGCCATTTCAGGAACCTAAATTGGAGGTACCTACCATATATAAGGCCTATTTTTTAGGCTTATGTAAGGGAATATCCCCACAAAATATGGCCAAACATATGGTACTAACGTACCTCCATCTGTTGGATCCTGAAGATCTCCCATTGAATATTATATACCAATGATTAACCATCATTAACCACAAGAAAACCATTATTAACCATTAGTAACCATTAACCAACCATACTTATAGCAGGGGTAAACCATGGTAACCATCCGCTAGGCTGCGACAGTCTTTGAGAGTCGTCCCTCGCAGCGCGGCCACGCGGATGCCGGTGGCTATGGCTATGCTGGAGAGACGGCGGCAGCCAGGTGGCGTCGGAAAATGTGGGGATTCAACTGGGAGCCGCCAGGAAGTTGCTACATAGCTATGGTATAGATTGGATATAGATGGCTTATCGATGATTTACCAGTCAAAACATGGTGATTTCTAGTAGCTATGGTAGTTTATGAGAGGGAAGGACGTGGCTCTCAACCCACAAAGAGCTGGGGTCACACAGTATTAGGGGAAAACAGTCTTCCAACCCTCTCTTTGCCTATCAAATGTGACATTTGGGGTTGCACCAGTAATGTTTTGTTCTCTCATCGAAATGAGGCTTCACAGTGTCGAATGGAGCACCGGCAAGAACACAAATGGGATTTGGGAAGAAGTGCACTTTTTGGCTCCTGCGCCAGTACAGTAGCAGCAGTACAGTAGCAGCTCAGTGGCAGTGATTTTTTTCGCCGGGCGACTGCAGCGATGTTTCAACCTGCTATTGACCTCGGTGTCACAGTGACAGGAATTCTCTCGTTTTCAATTTTGCATGCCGCTTTTACCATGTCCGATCTCTTCGTGGCACTGGACTATTTCAAGGAGATGATCGCACCACAGGAAATTTTGATCCCTCAACGTCAAGTTGATCAACAGAGGCGTTTTGATGATCAGTTGCTTCAAACGCGGCTTCGCATGCTCAGCTTTTTCAACAAAGTTGGGCTCCATTTGGCGTTCCTGTTTGCTGTTACAGCACTTTGGAGGCTGATGCAGCATCCAAGCTATGAACCCTTCTCTGAGTTGATAGCCTCATTGATTGGATATTTTGGACATATCTTTACGGAAGGGAACGTGACAACGAATCGTCATTTCCGATATGTCACATTCACATTCGGCTGCTGTCATTTCCTGTATTCGATGGGCGTTGCCTTGGAGACGAATTTAGTGGTGTTTTTGTGTCAAGAGAAGCTCCTCGTCGTGTTCCTGTTTCTTCTGGCTGTTGTTCTGATCGATTTGAAGGTGATTTTGACGTTGTACATTAGCGAATCTGTAGTCTTCACCCTCAGATTCTGGTTCCTCATTGGCTTTGAGAAACTAACTCCCATCATCACTTTCTCAACTCTGACCAGTCACTTTGTGGTGGCAATAACTCTTGTGCTCGTTATCCACAACATTCGATCTAACATCGCTGCCAGACAAAATTCTGGCAGCGCATCCTCCTTGATGTTGGGATTTCGACACGTCCTGCGTGGAGTCTGCGATGGTGATTTCCTCTTGGATCGAAGCAGCTGTTATATCCTGGATGATGCCAGCTGCTTGGAGCGGCTGTTGAAGTCCAAGAAGAAGCTGTCTGAGAGCAACTTCCTGGACCTCTTCCTGGATCCGGAAAGCCGTTTGAATTTTTTGAATTTCCTACATGCACAAGATCCGTCTGAGATGAGCACCCCAGGTATACCACGAGGCTTGAGGGTTTCACTGCAGGGAGCAGATGGTCCCGTTTCGTTGGATCTCTTCCACACCAGGATTCCCAGTCAGGACTCGGCCGACTATTGCTTCTCGTCTCCAGTTTCACATCGATGAATTTCATCTTGTTGTAGTATGTTGTACCCTCTGGTAAACTAACATAGCTATTGAAAATGGCCATTTATAGTGAGTTTTCCCATCAAAAATGGTGATTTTCCATAGCTACGTTAAATTACCAGAGGGTAATCATGTATATAGCCGCTATCATGTATATTTTCTTTAAATCATTGGGAAGAAGTTTCACGCTTATCTAATGTGATCTGTTATCTATTTCCAAAATGGCTGTGGGGAAACATATATCTTTTCGGCTGACTCTTCCGCTATTTGGCCATTTGCGGTTCCGGGAGGTTTGTTGGCCATGAAAGAGGATCCAGAACAAAAGCCACCACCCGACGCATCAGAAGCCGGAGCCAGAGCACTTCCAAGAAATTTTGCCTCGACAGCTCCCTCTTGTACGCGAAGCTCAGAGACGGAAATTGTGGATACCTGTGAAGAGCTCATGGAAATTGCTTTGTTGTTTACCAATGAGACTGGACTTCTGGATGTCAAGGAAGTTCGTTTAAGCTTCCATCGTCAATCATGGGCACCCACCATCGAATCAGGCATGCCAACCCTGCGCAGATTTATCCGGCCGACCGATTGGGATAGGATTGAAACAATGATTCAAAATGTCATCAACCTTCCCCCATCCGAAATTGAACGCCGGTGCTACTTTCGCCATCCAATGCTCTTTCGCGTGCCCGGGGCCTCTCGGAGCTACATGTGTTCCAGGCAAACTTATATCACCTTGCACTGCCCTCAAGTGATGGACGACCCAGAGAGGCCGATTTTTTTCCGGATGCATTTGTCACTGGTTGGTGGTTTGGAACATTTTTTATTTTTCTATATAGTGGGAACAATAACCCCAACTGACTAATATTTTTCAGAGGGGTAGGTATACCACCAACCAGGTCATCATTTGATGCAAATCACATAGCTCGCCCCAGAGAACAAGAGTTGGACGGCATCGAGGAATCCGTTGAGGAAGAAGGAGGCATTGCGGAAGGACAGACAACAGACGATGAAACAGGTTTTAATTTGATGACAGATATCACAGATGACGACCAAATGACGACCAGTGGCTAGGCGACAAAGAGCGTCCGTAGCATCGAAGCGCTTCGATGGCGCAACTGAGCGCATGCAGAAAAGAAAAAGTGCACTTTTGTCACTTTTCATCTTGTTTTCATGGAATCAATGATGTGGCTCGACAGACGCGATGGTGCGTGTGATACCTGATCCTGGGTGCATTCATCTTAGTCAAGATGATTGAACTCTGCTGGGGTAGCGTCGAGAGGGTCTATTGGGTCTAGTGGCTCAACTAGTCACAACTTTCATGGGGGAATATTTCATACCAAGCTAATTTCTTCTTGAAGGGCACGGGAAACTTTGCAGGACCCCTATGAGGAATAAGAACCATCCGTTTTCCTGTAGAATGTTCCCCTCCAACCCATTGAGGATCTTGAAGATTGGCAACGGAAACGGATGCCTTGAGTGGGGCAGCATCCCATACGTTACGCCGTCATGCCCAACTGTTGTGTGCAGGGCGCTCATCGAGCAAGCGGCCGCCGCCGCCCCCACGGTTTTTGCGGCTTGGCATACACCGCGGCGTTCGCAAAAATGATGGCGGTGGTGATAATGATGACCATGGTGATGTTCATGGTGATGCTCTCAATTCTTCAGTGTTGTTTCTGAGGGCGGACAAGTCTGTTAAACAGCCCAATTGCATGAATGATATGCTGATATCATATGGGTATGGATCAATACCTATAGATACCATTTTTAGGGGGATGAACATCCATTTACCAGCTATATTGATGTTCACTAGGGGTACAAGGTTTTGACACACTGCCATATGTCTTCGTTCCACTCAGGGTGCGTTTCAAGATTGACCCTCAAAGCAGCCCCGTTGGGAAACCATGGGAAACTGAAACTATTGACCAACATCGACCCAGTTCCACGATCCCCAAGCGCTATAAATTCAGTTGGGTTTATGATGGTTTATAAGCTGCTTGGTGGTTTGGAACATTTTTTTATGACTTTCCATATATTGGGAATGTCATCATCCCAACTGACGAAGTCATATTTTTCAGAGGGGTAGGGCTCAACCATCAACCAGTAGGTTTATGAAACCATCGACCAGTCTTTGTGGGTACCCTCTGGTAAACTAAAATAACTATAGAAAATCACCATGTTCAATGGGTAAATCAACTGTATAAATAGCCCTTTTCAATAGCTATATTAAATTACCAGAGGGTAATTTCCAGCGTTTCCGGAAATGCTTTCCCGAGGAAAGCCAGCCGCAGCGCCGCTCCGCCGACGCCTCGGCGGCCGAGAGCGTGGCCGTGGCCTGCGGTGTGAATGCGGCGTCCATGGCATGGGAAAGTCAGCCGGAAGCCTCCAAGGCCGGGGATTTGATGATTTTGATGGGATTTGGAGTTTGTTTGTTTTTTTCGCAGATTTGAAAAGATGAGTAGAAAAGAGACAACCGGTAGTGGATTTGAGGTAGTGGATCTGAGATATTTGACTTGAGGTAGTTTTTAGAGCCCCGGAACATGACTCAACAACCGTTCCAACAGTTGAGATTTTTTGGGGAATATGAGGATGAGGTTGGGAGTGTGGATCGGCATTTGCCTATCGATCTGTCTATCAATATCTCTCTCTCTCTATATATATATTATATGTCAAAATATCCAGATCTGGGTTAATTGTTGAACTTTAGAGCAACAATTAGGCGCTCTCCTGAACAAATGTTAGGGTTTCTTTAGACTTTAGATGAATGCATGGTTGCTTTGTTACATAAAATTGTTTGAGCAAAGTTGGAAGATATTTGAAGTGTCCGAGGAGAAACCGAATCCAACATGAAACCTCAGCCCAGGCAGATGTGCTACACAGAAATGGCCGCTGAGCGATTTCTTTTGGGCGAGGTGGAATGATGGTCCGATGGTCAACCATATCGCAATGAAGGGATACTCAGCATTTCTAAAGTTGTATAAGTAGCCAACCTAGACGGGGTTTGTCATTTGGCTGCCATTATCAGTGGATATGTATGAAGACCATGACAAACATATCAGCATCAGGACCATCAGGAGTTGATCAGAAATAAGAGACGATGTGAGCTAGTCACTGGGTAGTTCATAAAACCTGGTTGGGCCCTCCCAGTGCTCAACCCAGTTGGCACCATCACGAGCCCGAGTATACTTTTGTATCTTCCCAAACAAATTCAAAATAATCATCCTTGAACCATAACTGATGACATCAAATCCATTAAAATCCCGTACCCTCTGGTAAACTAACATAGCTATGGAAAATCACCATTTTTCATGGGAAAATCCACTATAAATGGCCATTTTCCATAGCTATGTTAGTTTACCAGGTGGTAAATCTCATCCATAAATCTGACACCTGGTGCGATGTCTGCGATGTCCTGATGCCACACCGCACCACGGCCGAGGTCCCCTGACCTCAGATGCGGAGAAGTTGATCCAAAGCGCCGCGGAGCAGTGGAGCAGCGGAGGTGACATCGTGTGACCCGCTGTGGCGCTTGGGGTGGGCTGGGGGGTCACCAAAAAGTGCCGCTACATATCGCTGCAGTTGATATGTGGAGCTTCGAATTCGCCAACGGTTTCTTTTTCAATGCGGTGGTGAGACCAAAATGTGGAAAATCCATGGTGATCAATAGGATGCCCATGGTTCCCTTTGGGCTGGAATTCCCAGAAGGTACGAGAACGCGCCGGCGGAGAGTTCCGCGCATGTGACGCATGCCTCGGCCGTGCAGGCGCCAACATGGAAGCCGGGTCGGATTTGGGTACCATGGGTTACCCTAAGGCCCTATGGTGTCATCAAACATGGCTTGCTGGACAATCCCTCATTAAGTTCGATGATTTTTCCATTCCAATGATTCAAATGCTCATTTTGTTCAGCTTGAGGGTATTTCATTTGTCTGATTCTGTTCGGATAAGCAACAACGACCTCACTGCGACGACACTTGAAATGATTGGTTTGTGAGGGCAACTATGCTCCAATGGACTTGTTTCAGGTTTGTGAATTAGAGCATTTTAATTTACCCTCTTAGAGAAACAGCCACAGAACTATGGAAAGATCCACCATAGCTTGTAGCTGGGCTATTTCGACTGGGTCATGTTCCGGTTGGGTCAAAATGGTCGCTGGCTTCCCATGGTCGGTTCATGGGAGAGAACGATAGGAGCTACCGATATACCATCAATTTTTGGCCGATATAATTAAGGCCTATGTTTATAAGGGAATATCCCCAGAAAATATAGCCTTATATTATATAGCCTTATATGGTACTAGTTCGTAGCTCCATCTGTTGGATCCTGAAATTACCATTGACACAATGTCGAATCGTAGCATTTTAAAGGCCATGGTCATTTTTTTGGGCCAAAATCATCGAAGTTCACCTTTTCTAGGCAACAACAAAACCCGTAAAATGATGAATCTTGGGCTGTAAAATATTGTGCACCTAGAATTTGATGTAATTTTCAGTAAGGTAACCTCCAAACCTCCCAGTCTTCGGGGATAGGGAGATCAGAATCCAGCACCAGGCCACGTCGGCTTCGGTCTTTGAGAGCACGCCCAGCCTTTCTCAAGCTGTTCCTCGGGCGCAGCGAAATCGCACATTGGTGATTCGATGGTTATTGGCCCTATAGGCCCTTTTTTGCTTTATCAGGAACATCTAAGAATTTAATATCATCCAACTTTATCAGGAACATTTAAGAATCTAATATCATCCAATGCGATTTTTTGGATGATTCAATTCATCGTTTTTTTTTGACAGAGGACGCCGTGGAGCGCACGTGGCTCACACTGAAAGTGCCAGGAGCTGGGGTCAGGCGGTCATAAACCATCCGGGATGCATCAACCATGTGGGGGTCATTTTGCATCATACCTTTGAGGACGCGAAAAATGCTGCCCCTTTGAATAGTCACCTCTATTGGGGATGGTGACGATTTTTGGGGTTGCCACATTCCTTGGAAAACTTGAAAAATATCCTGGAAAAAACATCTAAATTCATAGTCGCGAGAAACCCAGATCGATGGTTGAGAGCCTCCAAACTAGCTACAAAACCCAGGACTTGGATGAAAGGAATCATAGAGACTTGCCCTTCAGCAGACCTGTCGATTTCCTTGAACCAACCCTCTTTTTCGAATTATAAACGGGAAGCCTGAATGAAACTAATGAAACCCTGATATTTGGCAAGTTCAATCACTGGTTGGTGGTTTGGAACATTTTTTATTTTTCCATGGGAATTTCAAAATCCCAACTGAAGCTTAAAAAAATGAACGCATGAAAGCTAATGCAAAACAGAAACATAGATGTAAATCAATCAAACGGACATCGATTCACGCAAATATAGATATATGATAGATTTGATTTTAGATTAGTAGATAGATTGTAGTATATCCATGATATATCTATATTAGATTCTATACATTTCTTTACATTTTTATACATATTATAGATTGACAACACTCATTTTTTTGGTGCACCGGCCAGGGACTGCCGCCTCAGGAGACTCATCGAGGCGGCGGCCCAACAGGCCGAGAAGAACCAACTCCGGGAGTTCTCGGAGGCGGGTGGAACGGTGGGTTTTTGGAGGAAAATCCATGGTGAAAATGGGGAAAAACCCTGAAAAAATGGGGAAAAACCTGGGGTAAACTGTTACAGTTTGCGGTTACTGGAAAGATCCAGATCCAGCATTTTGCTAAATCCACTATTTCTATGGCCATGGCAATATATAGCTTAAAATGTTAGTTGGAACCAGAGGGTAATATGGTTTCATAGAGATATTACTGGGATTTTTTCATGGATATAATCGGATATACTGGTAAATTTCTGGTGAAATACTGGTGAATCCTTAATAATGGAATCATGGATACCTAAGGGGATGTTTTGGAGGGGATTGACCCCGGTAACCATGGTTTCATATGGCAACAACATATGGTTTAATAATCATGAGATATGACTGGGATAATTAGTGGAGTTAGCCTCCGGTATGCAATCATAGCCGTGGTTTGCTGGAAAATTCCGAAATTGCAGGTGATTTTACAGTTAATACCTCCATTTATAGTTACTGATAATGTGGTACACCCAATGTTAGGTCGGAGAATTATGATAATTACGGGCTGCTTTAGT